CCAATAAATGCCTAACAGTACAAACAATATAACCACAACTATAGTTTTAAAATATTTGATTTATAATAAATTTAATGAGCTTTGTTTATTTTAGGCTTCATAAGACTCTGAAAACCTTTTATCAAGAAAAACAAAAGTCTCTTTTGACTGTAAAGGCTGCAGAAGCTGTATTTTGCTAACAGACAGAGAAATGAAGGTGATGACATCATCGCTTGTTTTTATCACTGAGCAACAAAAACTAAAGACTGTTACAGTAATAATGCAAAAACGTGCAAATTATTAAATTTATTCCTTTTTTTTAAACAGTGTTACCATCAACACCAGGTTTGTTTGTTTTTAAAGTTTTTAAAGTTTCAGTGAATTGGTTTTGTTTCCAARGTGGTCGTGAAGTTTRAGCTTTTAAGAGCCTTTTTCTCTGRCTCCTGTCACTCATTGATTCTCCATCCAGGGATCAGGGCCACTRAGAAACAGAAGCACATGAGTCACCATCGAGTCCCGACTCCTCCACCAGCAGGAGGAAAAAAAAGATACAATCAGTGAAACTTAATCACATCAAAATGACCCAAACAGAGAAGCCAGTTAGCATCGATCTGAACGCASAACACAACATGAAGATCTGAATGTTTGACAACAAACCTTCTGGTCCAGATCCAGACTCGGACTGACGGGCTCACTTCCTGTTTTGTCGTGTCTTCTTTTGAGTTAGTTTTTATTTAACTGCTCATTTAAAGCAATATCTCTCAACAAGTTTGAGAKAAGCAGTTTATAAAACCAAAAGAACGTGTTTGTGTTTATATAAGTTCAAATCATTTACCYTTCAAGTCMTTTAGCAAAATACTTTATAAATCATTGYACAAACAAACAAATGAAAACTTGGATGTACATCTACAACTTTGGTTTTACCTATTCAATATGGCCGCCACCAACAAACAACTTTAACAACACAAAAATGTCTACAACTCTGCAGTTTTTGCAGATGTTTCAACATTTGTAGATTTTAATTTTCTGGTCTGTCTACGATCCATATCTGTAGTCATGAGYTTTAGATCAGGACTGAAAGAACCAGACTCCTAGGGTTCAGCACATCTCTACCAAAGGTCAGTGCAGACTGACCCTGATTAACGCACACAGTGAAAAACAAATCATGATGAACATCTAAAAAAATAACGTYGATAACCAACATCCAGCTGACTTCCTCTCTGCTTGGTAAACGTTTGTAATGGCGCAGCGTCAATCAGTGCCTCAGAGTTCTGATGATTACAGCAGCTGCCAGATTCAATTAGGTGCAATCATGTAATCAGTTTTATAGAAAGTATGTCTGCAGTTTACCCTGAGAGCTCCTGTTCAGACTTTTACTGTTGTTTTAGTTGATTGATCCAGATGCGGCTGCACACCGCTCTGTTTCTGCTAAATTAACGTAAACTCATTTGGTTCACCTGCAGTATTGYTTGTTTGCTTTATGTCAATATTKTAATCAGACTCATAATTCATTTAAGAGTTACTCTGAGCTGGATCGGGCCCAGAGATGTAGACGTAGAGCAGGATGGACTCCAACATCTCTGCATGTAGGATTCAATAATTTTATTATTTGTTAGCAAAACATCTCATGAGTTGAAACTTTCAGCAAATAAGCAGAAATAATGAGAGTTTTGTGGTTAAACTGATTCAAGTTAATGATTATAACGCAGCTGCAGGTTTTATTTCCTTATAGTCAAGAGAAAAGAGGAAATCAACAAACGTCAGGACTTGTTTCTGTTTTCAAAGTAAATACATCTTATATTCTGTCTGACGTGTCGACATCAGGGAGCTRCTGATCAGATGGGGGAAATCCCAGCTCCTCTCTCCCATAACTCTGATCTAATAAACATTTTATGAGAAACATCCTCCACTGTTTGAGAGTGCAGCGAGACGGGGTTGAAATCAAATGCTAATTTTTGATCTTGTCGACGGCTTCGGCTCGTCCCGCTCACGTATCCTGTGGATTTCATCTCCCTGAAGAGGCCTGGGAGATTGCCCTCSCTGGGACTGACAACCCCCCGACATCGCCGGCCACCGCCGCGAGATAATTATAATGTCAGCGGAGGGCGAGGAGTGCCGCTCCACATTACACACTTTGACGTGCCYTGAGACGGAGCAGGAATATTACCTGTCACCGCGAGCTGAAGAGAAACACAAAAATACTAAATGTCTTTTTGCTTCGAACACCAACTATTAACYGGATGAATTCAGCTGCTTGGTTTTCTCTCAGTTTTGTCGCCTCATGACCCAGAATTTAAAAATAATTRAAGGGGTTTGTCTCTTTTGATTCACACAACATAAGCGCTATTTTTAAGGAGTGAAAAGGAGTTAAAAAAAAGACCCCGAACACAAAATTATTCTCCCCTCAACCCCAAGTTGGATTTAAACTTTTCTTATTTATTATTTAAGCTTTTCTCATCGAGTTACCCTCAACTTAACATGTCCAGCTGTMTTTCTGGATCCACTCCATCTGTGGTTCAAGGCTGCTGACAGAGTATTATGAGCACGTGGTTTTGATGTCAGCAGACTGTGGATGGACTGAACCAAGGCCGAACTTACAAACTGCTTCAAGTTCAGGGCTTCTTAACCTTTTTGACCTCGGGGCCCAATTTGTTGAACATAAAGAGGCACAAGGCGCAGTCAGACATTACCAATGTACAGATCAAAATGATAACTATTCTAAATCTTTGTTTAATTTGTATTGMATTTGCATTATAACTAAATTAAATACACTTACTGTTTAAAAGTAAAACTCCTGTCAAATAATCACAATTATGACAAACATTTTTTTTTATTTTGTAACCTGCCCATAACAATTATTTGAACAAATACAACGGACAGTCAACAGACCACCCAGGCCTTTGACCCAGAGGAGCCAGGCTTCACTGTGTGAATTTGTAATTCATTTCTAACAATGAAACAATCTATTCTAGTCCCTCTTCTCTGCTCCATCTGGGTTTTCTCCCATAGACAAGGATTTCTCAGGTAGAAATCCAACCGGCTAATCAGTGAAGAGGAGGAAGYGTTGTGAACACCAACATTAATTGTCTGCCCTGTTTTAGTCTGCCTGTAGTTTAGCAATGACAGCAGAGGAAGTGAATGAAGCCAGTCTGTGTTGACAAGGCTTTTAAATTAAGTCAAATTTGTCTCTCAAAGCCTACAGCATCGTTTAGTCATCTGTTCAGCTCAGTACTTCTGGTTGTTTACAGCACATGCAAGTTCCTGTTAGCTTCTTAGCTTAGCCTCCTTCATGGTGGAGCTGGTGCTCTACATACATCACAGCCAAACATTAGTGATTGGGTAAAATCAATCCAGTCGTTTAAAACTTCAACAGAGGCCACGCCTCCAMCAAGAAAGTGTTTCTAGCCAAGGGTCCAGACCCTCTGTAGGAAGCGAAGAGAAGAACAAGGGGCTGCCTTTTTTTTTTACCAGGTTTGTTGCCATCAATAATTTCCCTGTATTTTGGTTAATCCAGTTGTTTTTTCCCCAAATGACCAGTTTCCTGGTTTCTGCTGATAAATAAAACAAGCCCACAGCATGACACTGTCACCACCATGCTTCAKTGTAGGGTTATCTACATGATGAAAGGGGGATATTTTAGAACAGGGGTCTGCAACCTTTACAATCAAAACAGCCATTCCTGCCACTCGACGCACTAATAAAATGTGTCCGGAGCTGC